AGGGTGTACAAAGGTTGCGCGGATGTATACAAGTCTCAGAAGGACTTGAGATAGATCCAGCTTTTTTTATATTTTCCAATCAATTCAGAATCACTATCTAAGCTTAACTATCTATTTAGCCGCCTGCTCACCTGTCCACCTGATGACCGTCCATATAATCTTGTGTTTGAATTTTTGAAGAATTTTGTGTAAATTTAGTTCACCGACGTGCTTTGGCCTAAGGACGAATGCTTTTCGCAATGCACTTTTTCGACTTGGTCAGGGGCAGGTATATGGATTAAGCCTAATTTTGAAAAATTTTTATATCATTAACTTTATTAAACAAAGTGATATAGCATATTCAATAGTATATGGTGGGCCGCGATCAACTATAATGTTTTTATTTGTTTCACTTTAAAAAAGTATTTATCGAATAACATGAAAGAAAAGGAAAGACAAACTCTGTGGAGATTAATAATAGTTTTGCGAATGTTGATAATCCTTTTAAGATATATTTCGAATGTAAAAAGATTGGTAAGCTAGCAAAATGTTGGCACACCTGAAATTAATTTTTAAATTTATTAAGTAAAAATTCGAGTTTCTTACCAAAAATTTGCAGTCGATTACGCCTGTGTTCCAGGATATTTTACTATTGTGAGCGTTCTTTACGTCACTATTTTTGATTAAGAAGAAAATAACAACACCATAAACTCTTGCCACAAGCGCAAGCTCAAGCGAAATTTTCTTGTGTAAGTTCTGATCTTCAATCCCTTTCCCCTCCACCCACGATTCTTTGATCGTACAATCATTATTAATAGCGAAACGACATTGACCGTCAGTTAATGATTAAAAAGATCGGACATAAGTTGAAATAATGAACAACAACCGATCGCAGAACATTCAAAGGGGGCTTATTATAATAAAAAAGAAACTCAATTTCCGTGGCGAATTCAAGAAACCCCGCCGCGTACTGCCTTACGGCGATGCCACATATTTTGAGAACACCAATGAATGATAACACACTAGTCTATAGTTTCTTGGACGACGTACAATAACTTAATTAAAATCCAAATTAGCAGAAAATCGGAATAAATTGTCAAAATTATTTACAAGAACACTAACACTAATTGAAATTTAAAACACTTTGCAATCTTCATCCCAAAAATTCGGATTCAACGTAGACATGTCTGTGCGTTCGTCCATCCGTCTAAGATTCTATATTGGGATTGGTATGAATCCAAATAGAAACAAAAACGGAAAGCGCAACCTTAGCTTTTATACTCTTAGATGAGAGGCAGTACAGATAAAATTTTGACAATAATCGCGATTTTTTCAGGAGACCACAACAATAACTTACAATCTAAAATCGAAGTATTTACCAGAGCACCCGTGACATATAATTAGTAGAAATCTTTAGCCTACGGTTTGAATTAGATATTGATCTATAACTTGATAGAGAATTTCGCTTGAACAATTATTATATTTAAAAATGATTGCATTATAGAGTGTCCCAAATTTTCGCCCCTTGCTTGCTTCGCTTGTCACACCCAGCACTAGGCAGCAATGATTCCAAAAGTAAATTTTTGTAGAAAGAAACAACAGAAACTATATGGCCATCGCATAATACCTATTTAGCTTAGGTATGTCCGTCTGTCCACCAGCATGTGTTTACGGCTCCTAATAACACAAAAACAACGGGTTTCATTAATTTGCAAGCTATAGAAAATTTCCGACAAAAATGTAATATTTACTTTACTTTAAACTAATCTACGGATTCTATACAACCATATTTGTAATCGGTCAAAAACTACTGTTAAGTGTGGAAGGTACGCTTTAGAGTGATTACTTTGATTGCTTACTTTGATTATTTACTTGTTTTGTTTTGTTTTTTTTTTTTTTTTATAATTTCAACATTAATGCTTTATTCAATTGATGAATTTATAGAAAAAAACCAACAAATAAATGTAAAATAATAAATTCTCGCTTGACACAGATTTCTTTCGTAACGTAAAAGCTTTTAGTTGAAGATGTTCGAAGACAACAAAACACACTTATATTGACTCGGGCACACCTTCAAATCCATTCTCTATATATAGATATAAGCAGAAAAAAGAATTCTATTGCTTGTTATGCTTAATTACACATGTTAAACAGTACGTGCCTTCATGTTCAGGTGTTAAGACGTTTGAAAAACCAATTTTTCTATGAATAAAATTCTACACATTTCGATCTTCCCACATGAAAAATTAACATAGTTTTGCGTAAATATTTTATTAGTGACCAATTTTAATTTATTTATTATTTTATGCCGTAACATTTTTCATTCATTACATCGTTAAGTTGAATGGTGCTGTCATCTCGTCAATCCAATTGTAACCTATAAGAAGTAATATTCGAAACCGTATAGTTAGGCGTACATGTTCTCAATCAAAAGG